TATATATTAAATTATATTTTTTATATAATAATTATATTATTAACATTAATATTTTATTTTTTATTAAAAAATTAATATTTTTTTTTTATGTTTGCAGACAAATTTGCCTGCTCTACAGTTTAAGGGATAATAATATGTAATAAGGTATAATCATCATAAAAGAATGATCAACATTATATTTTTTTTTGACTTTAAATATTTGAAACCTTTTAAATATATTTTAAAATAAACTATTACATTATAATTAATTTTACTACTATATCATTTTTAAATTATATTAATATATTGATATTTTACAACTTATACAACTGATATAACATACTGATATATGAATTCTATAAAAGGAAATTGATTAACATGCCCGTGATCAGAATATCTTGATATCAGATATAATATATAATACATAATAAATTTAATTATAAATTAATATTATGAATTTTATTAATAAAAATACTTAATTTAAATATTAAAATAATATCTTAGGCATTTTTATATTATAATAGGCTTTAAAAATAATATTAAATAAACGGTAAATCTCGTGACTCAAGCCTAGATTTACTGCAGAATTATCTGTGTAGCCTATACACAACGAGCCCGTAACTGCTCAATAAACGTTCTAAGTAATCGAAAAAAAAAAAAGGCTTCGTTTCGTCAGCATTTAACGAATATTACGAATTATTGACAAGTACCTCGGTTAGTTTGTTAAACATTCTTTCAATTTATAACAAATAAAAACCACTCCAGTGTAACAATTTTATTGATTATAAAAATTTACCTCCATATTCCGCAACAGAGAGGTATTGGGTTTTTATTCATAACAATAGATCTGTTAGTTTTTTTTTAACTCCATTATTTTATACTTTTCATTAATTCCTTTATACTCTTATTTCAAAACTTTTTTTCTGTTTTTCTTTTAAAAAGTTTTCTTTTAAGAAAACATGAACCCAATTAAAGAAAATACTGCTTCACCTGAACATTCAATTGAACCTGTAACTACTCATACTCGTAATAAAATAGTATTACGAGCGAATAGATCTACTACACATAAACCTCGTAATTCTAGTGGTGGGGGTGGCGGTTCTAATAGAACATATAATAAGCGTGCTAGCAAGAAAAATAAGCTTATAAAGACATCAAAAACGCGGAATAAAAATAAAGAAATTATTAGTACATCAAAAGAAGTAAACGAAAGTCGAATAATTCCTGTTGAGGAACCTCCGAGAGAAGAGCTACCTTACGATAGATTTTTTCCTGATTTAAAATTAGATGAAAAATTAGTTGTGGTTTATGTTTCTTCTAAAGATCTTGTAGGGGATCGAGTAGAGGAAAAGGAAGTTGAGACGACAATAACGAAAGAAGAGAATGGTGAAATAGCAGCAAGAAATGTAAAGAGTGCAGTACAAACTCAGGAATACGGTGATGTGAATGATCATTCAATTGCTATCGAAAATAATATGACAATTTCTACCTCAACAACTGAACAGGCTCAAATTGAAGAAATTAGAACAACTATTGTGCTTTTGAACAATAATCATCAGGAAGATAAAATTCAAGAAGTGTTACCACCAACAAGCAATATACATTCCATTAAGGGTTCTGGATGTTCTCAAGATTCATTTGCTTCATTACCAAAGAATTTTGAAGAAACATCCACACCTAAAGATTCTGAAGAGATTTCGTCATCAAAAGATCTGAATGAAGAAATGAGTGAAGAAACTCCAAGTCCGAAAATTTCATCCCGAAAATCGTCGATAGAGAAAACTTTTCGTAAAGATGCAAAAGATGATCATGATGATGATACCGCGAGTTTTAAGGCTTCATCTCATGATGATATGGATGAAGAAACTATTGACGAGGATGAACAGGATGAAATGCAGATAGAGTTAGAGAATAGCATGATGAAATTACCGAGTATTAATTATGACGTAACGGTAGAAAATAAATCACTTGATAAGGAAATGGATTGGATATTTACAAACCCGATAGTAGCAGCCGATGATCATAACGTGGTAGAAAATGGAGTAAAAAAAGATCAAGTTATTGTAGAAGGTCCTTCTACGGCTATTATTACAACCGTAGAAGATAATATGCCAATTGCACAACCGCCCCCGGTTAAAAAACTTCCGGTTCCTTCCTTTAAGCGAATTAATTTCACTAAAGAGGAACCCGATGAAACATTTGTTAGACCAGAAGGACATTATATTCGTCATGTTGGTACGTTTATATTAAAAAAAAATTATGTTGTATAAAATAAGAGAATGCTAAAAACTTAATTTATAACGTATAAATTCTAATGTATATTTCTTGTTATCTAACTTTGATAGAATTATCAGAAAAGGATCTTGTGGAAATTGTTGAGTATGATATGGATGAACAAGGCATATATAAATATATTTTTTGTTATACTATTATGGTAGCCATTTTTACGATTAGTACATGAATATTTTATACTTACAGATTATATACAATTTAGATGATTATTGGCTAAAATCTTTGAATGAAGAAAGAAGGAAGGATGACTTGGGTGAAATTTCCGCTGATGTCTTTGAAGCTGTTATTGATAGACTGGAAAAAGAATGGTTCGATTTGGTTAGTAAATTAATTTATTATTTGATTTATTATAATAATTATTTATATATTCATTATTCGAAATAAAATTGTAATTAGACCAAAAATTTACCAAAAGGTAATACAGACAAAGATAGTATGACTCCAGAAGATTCAACTTGTGCAATTTGTGATGATGGAGAATGTGAAAACAGCAATGCAATAGTATTTTGTGATGGGTGTAATCTTGCTGTACATCAAGGTAATTTAAAAATTTTTATTTAAAGTTATGAATGGTTTTCCTATTAAAAAAATTATTTATTTATTTATTCATAAATTATAGATTGCTATGGAATTCCTTATATTCCTGAAGGGCAATGGCTATGCCGTAAATGTATAGTTTCGCCAGAGACACCAGTGGTATGAACTATGTAAAGTTTACCTTTAAAAGTTTTGTTGATGTCATTCCAGCAGCACAGAAATAAAATTTTTTGAGTCTTGTTTATTATTCATTATTAGTCGTGTATATTTTGCCCAAATGAAGGAGGTGCCTTCAAAAAAACTAATACAAATCGTTGGGCGCATTTACTTTGTGCTTTATGGATTCCTGAAGTTGGATTGTCGAATACGGTATATATGGAACCGATCGATAATATAGAGGGAATTCCACGGGGACGTTGGAAATTGGTAATATTTATTTACTTTGCCTATTATTGTAACCGCCTATATCTTCTTCCATTGTTCAATTCATTTGCTCAGAACCTTTTTTTTGATATCTTTCCTTCAAAAATTTAATATATATTAATTTGGTCGTTTTCTAATGAATTTTTATAAATCATTAGAAATGTTACATTTGCGAAAAGAGAATGGGCGCATGTATACAATGTCAAAATACTCATTGCTGTACAGCCTTCCATGTAACATGCGCAAGAAAGGCGAAACTTTGTATGAGAATGAAATTCCCTGACGAAAACCATAATCATTATATTATGAAAGCTTATTGTGATAAACACACGCCTGTAATTACATTTATAATTAATATTTTTTGATATTCTGTCAGTATTCTTGCTTATTACTACTAATATGCATTCTGCAGCGAGATTATAGAGAACAAATTGACGTTGCGAGTACAGTTGCTGCGGCGCAAAAACTATTAATGGATCCCGTTCAAACAGGAAAGAGACGCCGACATGACATCGACTATGGGACTGATGAATCCGACGATTATGTTCCAAGTGATAGCGAAGAAGAAGATATGGAAGATCAATACATTGATAAAACAGAAATATCTCATTCGCGTAAAACAAGGAAACGAAAACAAACGGATGATGTAACAAGTAACCGCAAAACGAATAAAGCTCTACGTAGCATTGAAAATGGGCAAGTTGCTCAATCTGTTGAGAATAAGAATTCTAAAGCTGCCCGTGCGTACAATCATACTTATACCGATACTGCGCCTGTAGCTCCTGCGGTTATAATGGAGAAGGTATTACCAGTGTTAGCAAGACAAAAGGGCACAATGCGAAAAAAACCGGAGCTTATTACCATCATTTGTAAATATTGGTCTTTAAAGAGAGAATTTCGACGCGGAGCTCCTTTATTGAAGAGATTACACCTTGAGGTACGACATTAACTCTATTACCATTTTCATTTTCTATAATTCAATAATCATTTTTTTTTATTTTTTATTTATTTTATTTTAAAAAAGCCATGGACGGCCTCTGCTTCTGCCCACAAACAATCCGAGGAAGAAAAATGGGCCAAATATATGGTGGGAATATATTTATTTAAAATTTTATTCAAATATACATGTGTTTACCTTATAATCACTATCTAGGCAATGACTGACCTTCGTAAAGATCTGGAAAAAGTAAGAATGTTAGTTGATTTGGTACACAGGCGTGAAAAGGAAAAATTAAAGAAAACAAGATTACAAGTGAAATATCTGGAGACGATTCTTTTCCCTCTTGATTATATTCTTCGTCCTGCATTAGAAGAAATTGTGGCGTAAATATTCATTATAACCTTTTGATATTGTTTTTTATTTTTGTTTTTAAAGTTTAATTTTTTTTATTCTTAATAGATTGGATAAAAATGAAATATTTGCAAAACCAGTGTCAATTGAAGAAGTACCTGATTATTTAATACACATTATGCATCCAATGGACTTTGGGACAATGCGCAAAAAGATTGATGCACATGAATATAGTCTGGGTAGTGGATTGCAAGGATTCAAGGTATAATCCATTATTTAAATTTTATTTAATGAAATTTTACAAGTTTTTATCTGATCAATAACTTCGTATTGGAAATTAGGATGATCTTGAGCTTGTATTTCGTAATGCCATGACATACAATACTTCTGACACGATTTATTATCGAGTTGCTAAAAAATTACAGATTCAATCACAATCCATTGTTGCTAATGCTGAGCAAGATTATTCTGGCTTAAATATAGATCCTAAAAAAGGTGTTTTGGACGTTCCGTTGCATCCAGAAATATTCACTTATAATTCAGATCCGTTAAAATTTCCGGAACCTAAAAAGAAGATTGTACCAAAGAGGAACAAAAAGACGCGTGGGAGATCAGCACGTGGTAATGCAACAGAGAATGGCGAAGGACTTTCACGCGTATTACGTAGCCGTACTTCAAGATTAGCTACAACCTCAAAAAAACCAGAACAAGAAACAAAAGTTGAAGAAACTAAAGTAAAGGAAACTATTGATGGCAGGAAATTGCCAAAAGGATGGATTTATTTAACAGATGAAGATGATGAGGAGGAGGGGAATGAAGAGTCAATTCCACTTATAAATGGGATTGAATATCAAGTTCCTGTCGTTGATAACGATAATGTGATTGCTACGCGAACAAGGTCTCGTAAAAGCAGCGTATCAGAAATGATAATAAAGACTGAAGATGATGAAACTGAAATGTCAGTCGGTAAGTTCTTGTTACCTTATTATTAAATATTTATTTCACGTTTATTAATGTAATATAAAAAAAAATTTATAGAACCTTTAGAGGTAGTTAGACGTAGTCGATCTAACAGTCAAAATATGAGTGAGGCTGCATTGGTTACTACTCCAAATTCAGAAATCACTGTACAAACTCGTAGCCGAAAAGGATCTATTGATTCATCAACTGCAGAAATTACGAACGTTCCCTTCGGTAGCTTGGTTTGGGCAAAGATGCAGGGATTTCCTTGGTATCCTGCTGAGGTACTTTTTTAATTCCAAGTATTCCAAGTTATTTCTATTGTATATTTCTTATTAATCATAAATTATTCTTCGTAGGTTGCAGATCCTGAAAAAGCGAATATTACATCAGTAATCCGGGCAGACAAAAAAGAGGGTGATACATACTTGGTCCATTTCTTTGACGAGAGAAAACTCGGAAAGAAGAGTTATAATCGTAGTTGGTAAGTAATTCAATAATTTAATGGTTCTTCACTTATATAACATGTAGTTTAAAATTAAATTTTGTTTTTAAATGATTTAGGAAATGGGTTCCAGCAAACAAAATAATTCTTATGGGAGATGAAAAGACAGATTTGGCAAAGTTAAAAGACAGAGGAATGAAAAATAAGATGAAACGAGAAATTCCGAATGCATATGAAGCTGCTTGTAAATCAAAAGGACGTGAACCAGTCCTATTAGATCAATTTACTAAATCAATAACGGTTCCATTAAGAAGAAACAGTCGTAATAAATAGAAATACGAAATATTATCCCATTATTATGGTGATAAAACCATTTTACCGTTCTTTCATAATTGGATTGGCCTCGCGTAAATCATTTGAAAAATACTGGAAAGACTGGTTATTTTTCTTTACTTTCCTCCTGATCTTAATGTAAAGAAACATATCCTTCTTTTTACATTACTTTAATAAATATTATCAGGAAATTTTATTACGTAACAATAATATCTTTTATAGCAAAAAAAAATTAAAATTTTTTTTTAAGGTTAAGTTATTATTGGAATATTTTGTTACAATTATCTTTATTTAATTTTAATTAATCACTGTTCCTTGATTCTATTTATTTATTCATACCATAGATTTTAAGTGAAATTTTAATTAGAAAAGTATTGAACTATCAAAATGTGAAGCAAAAAAATAACGCACATTTAATATCATTTGTAAAATATTCATTAACAATTTATTTTTATATCATTATTAATGTAAATAAAATAGTTTATCGAAAATTATTAATTGAAAGAAATTTTTTTTTTTTTTTTTTTTTTTTTTAAAAAAAAAAATTAATATTGCAATATACTACTCTATCTAATTTATAATTAATGTTCAAACAAAAAAAAAAGTGAGAGAGAGAGAGAACCCAGTAAACTGTGTCATCATCTTAACCATTGTTTCTTGAATAAAGGATGATGATCTTTCGCTTGAGTTTTTTTATCTTTCTTTGGTAACATTGCTTTTGAATGAGATCTACCAGAAAATTCCATGTACGCCATATTATTAGCTCCTGATAAACTTTTCATACTACTAACATTTCTTTTAACTCCAAATCCTTTTTGCTGTGATATGAAATTTCTGCTTGTGACAGTACCAGGTAAATCATCAACATTTATCTCTATATCATTATCTAAATCTGCATCATGATCATTCGCTAATAAAACTTCCGTCAATAATGACAATTGATCTTGATGATCTCTATAAACTAAATCTTTTGCTGTATCCATCCCTTCAAGTTTTGTAATTACTTTAAATGCATATCCTTGATCAATTAAAAATTGTTGTCTCTTCGTTGAGTAGAACATTTCTTGTGTATCTGTTGATACAAGAGAATAAAAGAAGGCATTAAATCCTTCATCATTACGACGTTTAGCACGAAGAATTCGACCTATTAAATTAGTCGCCAAGGGTTTTTTTTTTAGTAAAAATTAAAAAGATATCGAATTAATAAAGAAATTTAGGGAAATTATATTTTACCTAAACGTTGCGCCTCTTGACGTCTAGAACCATAATGAGAAGATATTTGTATAAGACATGTGGCCTCCGGTAAATCAATGGATGTATCACCAACCTAAAAGCCAAAATATTATTATTATGTCATACATTACGAATTTTATTTATGAAAGATACTGACCTTTGATAAAAAGATCGTGTTCACCTTGGGGTTATGTTGAAACATTTGAAGAATAGCCAAACGTTCCGGTGGCTTTGTTTTACCATGAATAAAAGGAACTTTCAATTGTTTTGCGTATTTCTAAAGAATAATCATATAACATTGAGTACGATTGGTAAAAGTAATAAACAATTTGAATTAATTGTATTTACCTCCAGAGCGTATACATTATCCGAAAAAACAATAATCTTATCTCCACGGTCTTCATGAAAACGAATCAAATATTGACACGCATGAAATTTATTTGGATTCATGGCGTACAATAACATTCGTTTTCTTGATGTAGCCCTTAGATATTCTGCATAAAACTCTGGAGACATTGGACACCAAACTTCAGCACACTGAACATTGGCGATATGTCCTTTTGAAGCTAAATCCATCCAATTGGCTTCATATAATTTTGGTCCAATCAAAAAGTTTAAATCACCAATCTTGTCATCTTCACGAACCAAAGTCGCTGTGAGACCAAGTTTCGTATGAGCTGCAATTGTTGTAACCACTCTTCTAAACATATTAGCAGGTACAACGTGCACCTCATCTAACAATACAAATCCCCACTCCCTTCCTGTTATGAAATCCATCATCTTTGAAGCTTCATAAGATCTGGTTCTAGTATTAGCGACCATACTGTATGTGGATATTACTATACCAGATTGACCAGAGAACTAAAGAATCAAAATTGATTAAAAAAAATACTACAAATAAACAAAATTATAACTTTGCAAGTAAAAGGCGAGATTAATCTTACCTTTTCCTTCTGATCAGAAGTAAAAACAGCAATTTGACTTTCTTTAATGGTTGACCATGTCATGAATTGTTGCTTCCATTGCATTACAGAAACACTATTAGGAAGATATAATTAATTTTCTTGATAAGTTTATATCGTTGTACTCAAAACAACATCCAGAAATATTTTAAAATACTTACGCAGAAGTACACAGTACAAGACAACTTTTCTTGATAGTGCAAGCAGCTGTTATTCCCACAAGTGTTTTACCCGCACCACAAGGCAACACTATAATTCCAGATCTTGCACGTCTAAGATAATAAATAATAGTTATTTTAATATTATATATATTGTAAATAAAAACAATAAAAATATATACCCATTGCCAAACATCTTGTTTAAACATTTTTCTTGATATGGGCGAATTACCGTTATTGGTTTGAGGTCGATATCAAGTTGTGCAAGTGTTGAATCGTTGCGGAAATCATATTCCTCCAACATAGGGTAATCAAGACCAATGCAACGTTTTTTCACAACCTATATGATTTAAATATGTTAAAAAATATTCTATTTCCAACATGGTTACTAGCTAACATTTACCTCAAATTTTTCTGATTTGATTTCAAATGAATGAACTTCGTCTTCCTCCTCTTCTTCATCCTCTGTATTAAAAAAATAAATTATTAACTAATACAATTTTACATTTTAATTATATATTTCGTTACCTTTATCGATTTGCACCACAGCATTAAACAAACTATCCTCCTCTGTGATAGGTCCTTTTTCTTTTTCATCTGTATTAACTTCTTCAGTTTTTTCGAGAACTTTTTTACCAGGAATTACCAAATCTTTGACTGTTGGTGCCTTATTCTTTAGAAACTTGTCATTATCGAACCCTTCAGCATTCACAACACGAGCTTCTGCAATATCTTTATCTTGTAATAGTATTTGTAATACATCAGGATGCGATGATTCGACAAAGTATCGATTGTGTTTGAGTACGAGCTTTACTTTGCCATAAGATAATGTACATGACCTGATAAGTTTTATAATGGAATCAGGAATTTCAATCTAATGAAATTAAATAACCATTAATTAATAATTATATTTGATATTTATGAATATAATTAATTTATTTAAATCTTGCCTTTGACAAGATCTTTAAGACTTCTATTATAGCTTCTGTCTCTAACCCAACAGAAACCGCAGCATATAACGAATAGGGTGTCAACTTATATTCATGAATGTGAGAAGGTCTATAAATTACAACAATTTATGAAATTAATACAATGAAATTTTCTTTCAAAAGAAAAAAAAAAAAGGTCTTACCTGCTCACAGGCTCGCTAATTGCAATTAAGAAATCTTGAGCCTTTTCTGCAAAAGGTGAAAATCCTTCAAGAATAATATGACCAGTCTTTGGATTTATCCATAATGGTCTATTAACATGATCTTTTTTCAATTTTATATGTGAAAAATCGTCATCGCCAAAATATTTGGAGACAGAATCCCGAGTGACATTAGCCATCGATGAGGACATGGTAAGGGAATCGATGTCAAAAACCGCACTTTTTGGAACTATAAGTACATATTTTATTTAATTTAACATTTTTAAATAAATTAATTAATTCAAGACAAAAACTACTAATATAACGTACTTAATCCTTCTTTTGTAATATTCCGTATATCATCCTCGTCTTCTGAAATGTTTACCGGAGTAGATCTCTTTGACGATGGCGATTTACGAGTTTTTTTATTAGGCTTAGAAGGACCAACAGAGTGCGAATATTCTTCATCTAATAAAGTTTTGTTATTAAACCAAGACAAGCAAAAAAAAAAAATCTTTAAAAATCACACAAAAAACGCTTAAATAGCAAAACTTTTATTTTTAAATATTTTTATTTATTTTATTACAAAAAAAAAGCAAACAGACAAAGTCAGGGACATACCGTCCCGAATACGCTTTTTTGCGGACGTTAGTGGCATATTTTTATTATTGTTATTATTGTTAAACTAACTATGGATTGTAAATATGTTAAAAATTTTTTTTTTGGAAGGAAAAAAAAAAGACGAAAAAAATGTTTAATCATCAATCATCAACTAGCCGCCGAAGTATTTATAATTTTTTTTTTTTTTTTAATGAATAATTGGTTATTGTATCTATAATGGATTTGGATTGACATTTTCATGACGCAATTTTGGACTAAATAAATATTACAATTTCGATTTCGACAGCAATTGCGCCTACATGTATGCACAGACCCACAGATTTTACCACTTTGAGTACAACAAACAAAGCGAATGTGTAATGTACTCTCAGAGAATGGTAATAGTTTCTGAATGATGTGTTGTGCATTATTACCTAATTCTTTGATCGTTCATCTTCATCTTCGATCCATTCTTAAAATACCTTCCTTGGATTCGTTTTTCGTTAAAATATTTTTATAATACGCGTAATACGCGGATTTTAGTTTCATTTTGTTAACGAAAGTATAGGAACCAAGAAAAGAATCAGAGTTGCGAAGATCACTTACATATTATAAAAATCATAGAATTGATAATTTTACATTAAACATATATAAAAAAAAATTTTTTTTTTTACAAATTTTGCATTTTTAGAAATAAATTGGCTTTGCATTGCACGAATCCAGTAGCTCTAGTCTCGGCGAAATTTTTGTAGTGTGGCAATAGTGATATGTTAGTTATGGTTTATAAATCTTCCATGTTTCTCTTCCAAACTTGATGAACCCTGTGTCATAATAATTGGTCAACACGAACGTGACGAATAACCGTTTTGATAACTGTTTATGCAAAAAAAGTCTCGGAATCCAGTAATTTTCGACTTT